CACGTCTCAATAGTTTCCATTTCTGCAAGATATTCTCCTATTGTGTGGTTCGACGTGTGTTATGCATTAATTATATGTCCAGTTATATGGTTCATTGAAGGTGTTTCTTTAAATTAGTTTGGCCATGCATGCGCAAAAACCAATGAGACCCCTAGAGTTACAGATCAGACGATCTTTGGGACACAACACACAATTGCAACTGGTTTTCTCATTGTGAATGCAGAGAAAACCAGCCATGTCATCAACATGTCTTAACATTAAAAGGTGTAGGTACAATCTGGTGAAAATTGAAAATAAAACAAGTAGTCATAAAATGTTTAGGAGTCTTTGGTCATTAAGCATCAGTAAAACTAATGAATCAGTTAGCAGTTCTTCCAATATTTATTGCCTTCAGACAGGAAGTGCAGCCTCAAAACACAGAATAAGAATTTCCCTGGTCCTTGACAGGCCTGGAAAGACATTTTAATTGATGGAGCTCCGCCAACACAGAGAGAAGTAAAAATACCTATTCATGTTCCTATTGTTAGTTTCTCTGCAATGTAAACAAAGGAGAGGATAAAGGTGTTCATCTGATATGCAGACCTATTCTGAAAAGCAGCTCCAGAAAGAGAGATGGGAAAACAGCTTCCAAACAACTTCAATGAAATTTCTGATTTTGATTTTCAGAGATTTCCACCTCCTCACAGCCATGTAAACCCCTTGCGTAACACTGAATGGGGGTAAATAAGGCAGCTAAAGCAACTGCACAATCAAAAAGGAAAAAAGAAAAATGCAGGTGTGTGGACATTTTTATAAGAACAGCTGAGACGTGGAGTAGTTTAGGGGTAACTGTTGACATGAACAAGTCTCAAATAATCTTCCAATGGCCCACGAGTACTATGAGTATCACAAAAACCTAGGGGTGCACCAAAAATGGCATGATCAGGGCAGATTGTACAAACAAGTGGCTGCAAATCAAAACAATATGCTTGGTTAAGCTGCTTTTTTTGGTATATTAGCATAACCAACAAAAAAACATGGAAAGGCAAGCAACTTCAGCAATGACCTTTACTGTGGCCATTGGAGAGATGACTCTACATCATGAATTTTGAATTTACTATTTATTGTTAATTATTGCCTGGAGCAATGCAATTGCTGCCTGCAGCAAACCAACAAATAACCAAAGTGTTTCATTCCTGTGTGTAATTAACAGCATATGGCAATCCTAGCAGCCATAAGTTTTGAAGCATTACCTGCCCCATCAGTACTTTTAACATTTTCAGGATCCATTTTATCCTGCTGCTCAAGCAACATTTCTTATGGTGAAACAATTTGGCAAGTTCCATCACTACATCAGAATCCTCGGTGCTTAATAACTATAACAAACAATTAAATTTGATAGCAGGTCACCTTACCTCAGGACTGGGGTGTCAGCAAGGTACTTAAAGTTTATTCGTCAAAACATGAAACCAAGAAGTAGTGCAGACATCTGTGTACAGTAGGTGTATCAGCATTATATTTACTCAAAGGTGGAGATTTCAGGTCCAAGACCAAGATTTTATTTCAACCAACCAGTTGAGTATAAAGCGTCACAGTGTACTCAACTGGTTGGTTGAAACAAAATCTTGGTCTGGATTTGTACTCTCTGGACCTGAAATCCCCACCTCTGTATTTACTATGACTCTGCTTTTTCCTGCTCTTGAATATTGTTGGTACGCTGGAATTCAAAAATAAGTTGCAAAGGGGAGCACAGGTTTTGATAAATTATTATTTCCCTCATAATGGTAAGTACACACCTTGCTATCCAAAGACAACAGATGGTCGCAGTCCTTAAAGGCAGAACCCAACAGGTGGCAATTCAGATTTAAGCAATTAGGGCTGCTGTTCGAAAAATGTTGTGCTGGATTCAACTTTCATTTGTCATTTGAGGTACTTTTAACCTACAATAAGATGGAGTCAACAAAGTCTGCAATTATTCCTATCAATAATATCATTCTCTATCTACAGTCACACAAGATGCCAGGAGTGGGAGCGGCAGTGAGCCAACTCAAAAACGGGGCATTTTGTACCTCTATTTATAGATTGAACACAATGTGCCTAGATGTAACAACTATGGCCATAAAAGACACAGAATCACCGTTAGGGGGACTCCCAGCTGGTGCAAGGATGGCTTTCTGCAGATCATGAACAGCCGTGCAGCAACGTGGTCGACATACCATGAACCCATGGGTTTGATACAAAAAAAAAAACAAAAAAAAACATGCGTATTCAGCATGCAGGAAACTCCCACTGTAATGAAACAAGCTGGAAGAGTCAGCAGGCATTTTTACATTCTCCCAAAACCCTCAGGAGAAATGCTTTCCCAGGCCGCCTAAATTGCACGGAATATCATATTCCTCCGGCTGAACAATGCAATGCTTCAGATTTGGCACGTTAAGTTGCTACCACCTACACGGCTGGTTGAAGGCTCTCAGTCTGTTAGTATGAGACAGTGACCCTCTTGGCGCCCATAATTGTTTGGACAACATGTAGCAGAGAAAAGGACTCTGATTCCAGCCTTTTGTCACAGACTGAGCTTATTCACGTTTTGCTAGCCTTTAGCAAATGGTTTTATTAAAATGACACACGGTACTGTGGCACAATTCCACCATATTCTACGCGGGTGCTAAGGAACGGCTCCCGATTTATAGCCACGGTGCATTTTACACGCTGGTCGGCTTAGGGGGTACAGATTCAGACTTGCCAGAAGATGCTTTGGGTTTTGATGCACCTTCAGGATAGAGGGTCTGTTCGGTATGTACAGTATGGAAGCCAGCCAGCATCAGTCACTATTGGTAAGTGGTTATGTGATCAATAACGGAGCTATGAAATAAATAATCATCATGAAAATGTTGCCCCAGCTTTATTTTGGCTTTATTTCATGCCACTTTCAACAAAATAAGCAATATTAAAGAATTCTATAAACTTGTGCTAAAAAAAATCTAACTTATATACAGATGTTCCTAATAATGTACAGTAAACATCAGCAATTTATTATGTTTAATGTATACCATATATCAACTTATGGAGCAGTCTGTTTGACATTCCCAGATATGATTGTTGCAAGTAATCATCCATTTTTAAAAATACATTTGCCAAATGTTGACACTTTAAGGATGTAGTAATTTTCTGCAACACTGAGGAATTAAAGGAAGCAGAGCTATGAGCCAATTAAAGTTCAGTAATGCAGGAGTAGGAAATATTTTGCACTTTGATTTTTTATTTACTCCAGTTTCCTCTTGCAATCCAAAAACTGATGCCCCTCAGATACCCATAATGTGTGAATATGTGTGCAAGTGTGTGCCCATGTCATCTAGGGCAGGGGTGTCAAACTCCAGTCCTGGGGGGTCGGAGCCCTGCACATTTTTGGGTTTCCCCTCATTTAACACACCTCAACTCCATGCAACTCATGGTGCTACAGCTCTTGAGCAGAATCATTTGTGGTGGAACAGGGAAAAGAACTAAGTTACACAGGGCTCCGGGCCCCCCAGGACTGGAGTGGGACACCCCTGATCTATGGTGTCCCCAGCCTTGTGCTCCTGGCCTCCTGGGACAGACTCCAGGCCCACCATGATCTCGTACAGCACAAGTGCTTATGGATGATGGATATTCACCACAATCCTCAAATGTTAATTTGTTTAGTGAAAAGAAGATTGTAATTTTCTTTCATTACATTAACAAATGTTAATGGAAATCTCATATACTCTCTAGCTATATTGTGTCTTTCTATTCGTTTTATCATACAAGTCGGCAGTTCTTATCAATTCGTTAGGCCCCTCAGCTTCCAAAACTGGTATCAAAGAAATCACGGAGGGTTTTAGAGAAGATCCGCGTGTCTCAATGTGTAAAGCTGCGAGCAGCGCAAATCGCCGTGGGCAGGGGTATCTGTTCGGCACGCGGCCATCGCTGCGCACTGCATCGCCATCTGTCGCTCAGCCTCCTCCGTTAAACAGGCAGCGGAGAGCATGCCAGCCTGAGGCATAACGCATCGCTCAATCCCCCAGCCGTTCCTATAGGAGCCAGCACTCCGCTGCCTGCAGTCCTGCCAGCCCTCACTGTCGGGACATAAGCTCACCTAGAAGGCTGCTGCTTGACATATTTACCTTTCATGTCCTTATTTTGTTTTTGTGGGTTAGGGCCAAACCGGGGCACCCCGTTACTAATTTTACACTATACACGATGAACCGGCCACGTCCCAGACGTCCAATTTTTCTCAATTTTAAAACACAATGAATAATTATTATTGTAATGGAAACATGCTGCAGACAAACATACTCTTCCATAACTCCATCTTTATTAACTCCAAATCTGGATGTGGAGTTCAGAGGGATGACCCAGTTACTTAGACATTCTTAATATTTTCATTTCAATTTATATTTTTATTGTTAAATTATTGTTATGTGTGTCAAACAGATGCCCCCCCCCCCCTGCTAGTTACAATAATGACACCTGGTAAAAAACACTGAAACACGTGAACTGGCCACTTAATGCTTATAACTAGCAACTCTGGCCACTTAATGCTTATTAGTAGCACTTGTGCTACAAGTATGCATGTCAGGCACTGAAAGGCTGAGGGCGCCTGAAACATGGAATCGCAGGAAATTCATGGAAGAAATCACTTGAGAACAAAACGCACAAAAATGTCTTATGGCACAAAATTGTTCACCTTCACCATCAAATGCATCACCTGAAAAGTTAATCGTTTTACAGTAGGTGTGTACAGCATACAATGCATTTGTAATTACATAATCACTCATATGAGCAGCCTTAAATTCTCACTAGAGGGACCTACCAAGCGAAGCTAGAATAAGCCATAACAGAAGCGAAGGATGATATGAAGTTTTTGCAACTCAAGAATAGAACCCACACTCCTGTCAGATGAGAAATTCTGGGAAATTTATATCCACCCGGCCTGTGGCCACATTACTGCAAAGACATTAAGTGAACTCAAAACCCACAGTATGCATGAAATGTCGACATACCTCCACAATTGTGACTTTGGCTGCTTTGCACATGGGTTGATTGAAGTTTCTTGCCGTTTTTCTAGGGTAAAAACAGAAAATGGAGACATAGTGTGAAATTCCACAAACACAGGGTGTGGGGGGGGGGGGAGGTCAAAATTATACACTTCTCCGAGAAAGCTTTTTCCGGTGGTAGCCTGACAGCCGTAAAATTGAGCACTTTGAGAAAGGAAACACTGCGACCTAGTGGTGACAATGGAGAAATGCACCAAGCCGGCGCAGAGTTCATCAAAGCGATGACTGCAAAGCAAATGTGAGCAATGTAATGTTTTCTATTTGAATCTATTTATAAACCCGACCACAGTGCCAGGAGATGTTATCCTTTTTCAGCTCAATAGCTAGAATAAGACACTCATTTCACAAAAGAAACCACCTACTGCAATATAAAAATAGGGGGCCTAGCAATCACTTTACACAGAGAAGGCTCTCCATTAAGCACCTGAAGATGGGCAATCCTCCCACAGGTAAACCTATAACTAGCTTTCAATGTTTTTAACCAAAACTGCTGTTATTTACTTTTTTCCTGATAAGTCCAAGAGCCAGTGAGCACACAGCCCGCAGGTCCTGGAGCTACAGAGCCCCAGAAAGACCTTCCATCACAGGCTGCTTACAAAGGAGGCATGACAGAAGGCTTACAGGAGCAGAAGAATAATGCCTTTCCAGAACCCACAGGCTAAAAATAAGGGATGTGGTTAATAATGCAAGGTATCAGATAACTCAGGCCGGCCCCCCTGCCGACTCCGCTGCTAAGGGAACAATGAGACATGAGTCAGAATCCGGCGACACCTGAAAATGATGTTTCCGGCTCGGTCGGCCTTCCAGGCTTTGACCAGGGCGAAGTCGCCCGTGATGGCTCTCTCCATGATGTAATGCCTTCCGTTGAATTCCCGCACCTGCAAGCAGCGACGGGGCACATGAGGGGCATCCAGGCGACAAAAACACTGCACTCCCGGCATCCGGGCAACAAAAACACTGCACTCCCGGCACCAGTGAGCCGACCTACTTCCATGACAGTGAGCCTTTTCGGGGAGAAAAATGACAGGTCATGTCAAGTCTCACCTCCCGCTTCTCACTGGCGATGGCGATGCTTCCATCTTTGTGGTACTTGATGGGTGACCCCCCCTCCTGGATGAGTGTGCCATAGCCAGTAGCTGTGAAGAAGGCTGGGACCCCCGCCCCACCAGCACGGATCCTTTCTGCCAGAGTGCCCTGACGAAAAACCGTCACTGTAAATCCACTCAGGAAGCATTAAAACCTCAACCTAATCGTGTCAATGCGCTGATGAGATGTAAACGTACTTAATTATTTCACTTGTTAATTCATATTCTGGATGCTACAAAAGTCTGACTCAACTTTGATGATTATATTTCAGTGAAACATAGTAAAGATATATAAATAATCAGCTATGAGTAAATGCTGCAGGAACTGAACCCTTTACTAGAAATGTACCACCAACGGCTCTATGACAACAGGCACGATTCCACTCCGCTTTTTACAAATTACACTGCAATCGGCACAAAGGACTGTGCCTGGAGCTGCTAACATGCGGCAACACGAGGCAAGAAGAGACGAAACCCCAGAAACACCGCACTTGTGGAGTTTCATTTGATTATATTACATCTAAAAGTAGCAAACATCATACATGTTCTAAACCATTCTTGTTTGGATATTTATTTCAGGCAGAGCTGACTTGCACGTGTAAAACCTGCGCCAAACTGGCACTACACCCCCCCCCCCCCCCCCCCTGTAAAGAAACTTGCCCGGTGTGCTGATCTAAACTGCTCCAACTCATTTCCATTTCTCTCCTGCCAGTTCCCCCAAGCCCCCAAAGAAAGGCAGCAGCAGGCGAGAGGGAAGCACATGGTTTAAGCAGGCGCCCTACCTGCGGTGTGAGCTCCACCTCCAGCTCTCCGGAGAGGTACTGGCGCTCAAACTCCGCATTCTCCCCCACGTAGGACGAGATCATCCGTTTGATCTGCTGGGTCTGGAGGAGCAGCCCAAGTCCGAAGTCATCAACCCTGGACACATAGAAGCCCACGGTCAAAACGAGAACTACTGAGGTTTATTATTTTGGTAAGGACTTCTGAAAGACACTGGGTGCTTTGAGGTACGTCCTAAGCAACAAAACAACAACAACCAAACAAACAAATCCAGTGCTTCTACAGTGAAATCCCTGCTGTATGAACCATGACTCAGGAACACATCTCACTTAATCTTGGATTATACCCTCTGCTTTGCAACCTTAAAGCACCATGACAATCTCTCCATAATCCTTGTTACTTAGCAAAAAAAAAACAGAACACACTCATGGTCATTCGACAGTGTGTCATTCCCAGGATGTGCTAAATAAAAACCAGAAGAGAATAAAATTACCATACAGCAACACCTCCTGCAGAATGCAGCCCAGTCACATTTCCAGCCAGTCTCAGACACGTGTTCAAACCATATTAATACAATGCAGTGAAGGGAACATCTAAATAAATGCCATGCAGAGCAAAGATGCAGTAAGTGACCTCACAAGAAAGACATTTCTCACTGCCAGCCATGTTTGGGATCTGAGCCTAAGCACTGAGACCTCGCTATAAAACACTGACAGCCTGCCCTACGGAACCTTAATTCTCTATTTCTGTGCCTGTACACTGCCACACCAGGCTTTTCCTGACAAGGCGTTACTGGGCTCGGAGGCAACTTGTCATGCATTCCTCAGGGGCAAAAAAATGCTTTTGTGCTCTGATATTTTACTTTATGTCTCTGTGCATTTTCATATAATTTCATATCATTTAAACATCTCAAGCTGATTTAGGACCAGCTGGCAGAGGAACATTTTCTCACAGTTTGACTGGCTCCTCTCTGCTTTTTTCATTGGCTTTGGGAATCCAGTTACAAAAAAAGAACATGCAGCAGTGTTATTCAAGGTCATATAAGGCTGTAGCTGCTCCACTCTGCCCTCTGCTGGATTGAAAAATTGAAATCAGCAGGTCTCAGTCCTTTGATGTATATGAATAGGATGACGTGGAATAAACCTTCCCATAAGATTAGAAATAAAGGGGAAATGCATTCTACTAAATTTGTTGTGCAGGATACATTAACCAGCATGACTTGTTATAAAATAAAAGTAAAGAGGGACATCACACTGTAGGAAATGGTCTTTGGCATTTGAAGTGCCACCAAAACTCTTTTCCACTCTCATTGAATCTATTCCATGGGTTGATTAAAGGTCACATTTTCCATTCTGCTGTAGGCTTGAACAAAAAGCAACAATTACTCGTAACAACCAAAATCGTCTTCTAAAATCAGGGACACGTCAGTTCCATCTAAATGCAAATATACAGTCCTAATAAAGCTGGAAATTAATAAAATCCCAGAACAATCCCAGCCTGCAATCTGCTCAATGTGTACACAACGGCACGGTGATTTGCCCTGCTGAAGACAGACCCCTGCTCCCTCTGTATTGCTACAGCATCGGCCTGTGTATTCGGAGTGAAGACACAGGCAACAAAATACCCACATTCATGTTGGCCTGATTTACTCTATTCGCCAGGAATAAATTTCTCAACCCCAGCGTTCCCCAATCCCGGTCCTGGAGGGCCAGTCTGTAACACAGTTTGCAGGTTTCCCTGCTCAAACAAGCCTTATTCAGCTCATCAGCCAACTGCCACGTTTAGTGGGCGTGTTTGAGCAGAGGAATCTACAAACTGTGCTGCAAATGGGCCCCCAGGAACAGAACTGAGGGGAACCTTCCTCTACCCTTTGACAGTCATCTTCTACCCAAGGACTTCTGTTAAGCAAACACAGGAAGGAAGAAAAACCACTCAGTACAGCATGGGTGATCACATGCACCCCACCTCCCCCGGCCCTGCACCTCATGCCACCATTTCCACCCGACTGTCTAGAGTACCAGAGGACTTCATATAAAAATGGTTGCTGACTGTCTTCACAAATGGGGAAGCCACCCTACCAGGTAACTGAAGGGGGCTTGAGCCCCCAAAATCCACAGTTTGCACTGACCAGTGTACTAAGGCCTGGACCTCAAACAGCTAGCACTTCATAGTTACTAGAGGGTTTCATCCAGAAATGGATGCAGCTGGTCTTCATAAATGGGGGATAGGGCTCAAGCCCTTGTTTTCCTGTGCTGTTTAATTGTCACCCACTTATCTGATGTTCTAAGCATTCAGTTTGAATGCCGCAAAACCTAAAATGGGAAAGAGCTGTTGTGTGATTGATTGTATAAATTGATTTACCAAGAAACAGGAAGTCTCTTTTTACAGACTGCCGAAAACCAAATAAGTATCGGACATGGATCAATAGCATATGGCCGATACCCAGTCTGTTGAATATGTCTGGATTGGTACTGATACCAATAAACGGTGCACCTCTAGTAAAAATGAAAAAATATCTACTCCACTGTGAAATACAGAGGATGTGGGGTAGGGCTGGCTGATATCTAAAATACTGTATATTATTTTATTAATTTAAAAATATCCAAATAAACAATGATAGGCTATAATCGACACACACAACCACAGAAGCGCGCAATGTTAAGTCGCTTTACATAAATAGTCACAGCTGTACATTAATCTAGGAACTTTAGATGCAGAGAAGGAAAAAAGGAAAGAAAAAAATAATGAGTCCTTAAGTGAGAACTCGCAATACTTAGCTTACTATTAACTGGAGTGTCAAAGTACAAAGTACAAAGGGCAGAATTAATGGACTAATAACTATAAAATGACATACAGTAAAGCTGGGACAATGCACACCATATAATTTTCAGATTTTGTGTCTTTTTATACAAATTTATTAATAATTGCACTGTGTCCATTGTATCCATTCACTACCAGTGCTGTGAAGTGCACATGCAAACCTTCAAATATGAAGTAAAATTCACTAATAAAGAAACCTGGAAAACCAAGGAGTGTTGCTTGCTTTTGTTAAACCATACTATAAATGAAAAACTGAATTTTGAATATAACTCTTACTTTACCGTGGTGTTGTTAAGTTTTAGACGGGACACCATCTGGAATACCTCCCTGGTATTAGCGTTTAAAGAAGTATATGGATTAGAGATGTACATTCACAGCAATACTGAATATGGATTCCATCAATTGTAACTGTAATTGTAATTGTGACATTAAAATGAATATCCACAAAAATTACTCTTTGGGTGGGCTACCATATGGGGGGGAAGAAAGGGGAGTGGTGCCAGACAGTAGGGAAACGATCAATCAACCAACGCAGTCTTTGTACTTCCAATGGATGCAATACAAATATTATCACGTAATAAAATGCATGATTTGAAACTTAAATGGTTTGCATTGTCCCTGACAGTCAATTGCTTAAAACAAAAGTTTTGTGATGTCTTGCAAAAGGACTTATTGTATTGTATTATTTTTGTCCCCTTAGTGGCTCCATAGAAATGTGTATAAAAATACGGGACAAATGGCATACTTGCATGGATCAATACGAGACATGGCGTTTTATTTTCCAGTAAGGGACTGTCTGCACACCACAACTGGTAAGCTTTTAAAACAAATTAATAGCCTAGCCTAGTTCATCTAAAAATTGTCAATTATACTTTTTTCCCCAAGTTTTGGCTATACCCTGTGAAGACAGCTCCATCACATAACTGAAAGGAGCTACAAAGCTACGAAGGCTGTCTGGTTTCACACCAGGAAGTTGCACTTTAATGGCTGGCTTTTGTCATGCTTTGTGTGTAGTCTAAGCCTGCTTCTAAAATAAAGGCAATAATCGCCGATTAGTCACTGTGGATTTGTATGCACAAATTGACCAAATCAAGTATTATAATCAGTATAATCCATCAATCCATCCATCTCGGTCAGGGTCAAGGGGAGGAGACCTAACACACACACACACACACATACACACATGGGGAATTGGATATGAGACACAAATAAGCCTAACTGCATGTCTTTGGACTGTGATAGGAAACCAGGAAACCCATGTGATGCAGGAGGAACATAACTCCACATGCCGAGAGCAGACGCGGAATCTGAACCCTCAACCTGGAGGTATGAGGCTGAGTCATGGTGCCACATACTGCATCACCACCCTCTACTCATTCAGACCTTCCAGAACATCTGCATATTGTTTGTGAAGAACATTACAGAGAGAACATTATTCAGTATATATTTCACAAACACACACTTTGCAGAAGTCACCCCCTCAGAATAGGAGCAAAACACTAATGATTCACATTATAAGAAACTTTTTAAACAAGAGAAACAGGTTTACAGGGTTACACCCCACATAGCTGCACTCCTACTTTATGGAAATAAACTTTATAACCTTATCCATTGCGTGAGGTCACCAGAGTTTGACTCTCAGAAAGGAGAAAAATGTGACAGCATATCAATTTCTTTGCAAATATTTAACCAACCTTTCAAGGTTTCTTGTGCAATAATACATGCCAAATCAAAAACGACCTGGATGACTGGGACAGGTGCGAGTAAGAAAGCTCTGGAAAATGGAAATGTCCCTTTCAGTTGGTTGACAGACTAAAACCTAAGCCATAACCTCATTTAACCTCCTCTTGGCACAGCAAGCTCAGACAGACTGTCATGAATGCAAAATGGAGTTTTCATCGACACATCAAAGTAAACCGTTAAAAATATATATGGGACAGTTTGCAGCAGACAGCAGACTCTGGAAGCCTCTAGAAAAAGTAAAAGCGCATAAAGTACCAGTGAATGCACGTCCAGGGTTTGCTTTCTGCAGAAAAATGCAGGAGCTAAAAGTGGAGCAGTAAAAGTGAAACCAAGCTATAAAAAGCAGAGCCTCGGATTACGGGCAGCTGCAAGTCAGAGGAGCTCCATGATGGAACATGAGGATGCACAGTCATCGTGTTGTCTGGGCAGCCCGCCTGCCTTATTGGGGGAAGAGATCGGCAAACCAGATGAATCAGGTTAAAAGTAACCTTGCACCACCTGTCAAGTAACTTTAGAGCAAAGATCTTCCTTTTCATAACACAATAAGGCGAGAAATGTAGCCCCACTTCATGAATCAAATTGGGTGTTACACTGAGCTTGTGTCAACCCAGTATTGCAAGAAAAGGCAGAAATTCCCTAGATATAAGTCGAAATTGTGCCTAACAAGACTTGGCAGCATTTGCATCAGGCATGAGCTTGACCACACAATCCAGGGGCACAAATTAAAACCCATCTTCCAGTACAATCATCTAAAAATTCAGCAAAGTAGTTTACACAGCAATTTGTTCTAAATTATGCTGCAGCCATTACAGCTCCAGCCGTAACAATCATGTGAGCTATTAAAACAATATGCTAGAGCACATGACATAGCCAACCACTGTGCATGGCAGCAGAAGGTGTATAGCATCACGCTGTCCAACCCAAAGAGGAAGAAAGGGAGCTGGACCAATCATCTGCCCAGAGCACAATGTAAACATCACCAGATGATAACAGCTAAGCATACTACTTACGAGATTCTGAAGCAGTTTTAGTCCATTGTCCAAATATCATTGCTGTTTGATGAAAACCATTTATGTCCACTTTTTCACGATTGTGACTATTTACTATAGATGGAACATGCCCGTTCTCTTCTGACTGCTGACAGTGTGTGACATCTAATCGACCAATGAAATTAAGTTTTATGAAGTCATTTATTTAAGTAGTATTTATGTTTTATGTTTATTTATATACATGATGGTTGTTTGTATGGATTACGTTATATCACTCATTTCAAGAACTTATCATTGACAGTTTGATAGCTAACTAGCACCATTTTTAATTGTGAATATAAAGTCAAACTGGCTTGTATTTTGATAAAACTGACATATTTGCTGCACTGACAACAATCTACGCAAGTCCATTTAAATCATTAAACTGTTCACTGATGACTAATAGAGGTTTCTATATGTGCCTGCATAATGTTGTTTTAGGTTTATTTTATAAAGTAGTTTCTGAGAAAATGTGTTTTGTCATGCACCTGAAATAGATTTTTGGGGATACTCATTTTCCACCAGACAGCGACTATACACACTAGATAGCTGAACCCTTAATATAACCAAATTCCACTTTCAAGCGTTAACAAGCGAATGAGGGGCACCTGTTCAAATGCAGGCATAAACCTCAAAGTTCTGTCTTCATTTTGATCCATAATCTGGTTCTGGGTGGGATGCTATTCCATCACAGGGAAAATACACTCGCTACAGGCAATTCACAGAAATGCAAATTTACCTAAATGCATATCTTTGTACTGCAGGAGGAATCAGGAGTATCCAAAAAGAACCTGCCCAACACAGGTAGATCAGGCAAACTCTGCATGCATACAAACAGAGACGGTGCAGGATTTGAACCCTCTGGGACCAGGGTTCGAGTCTTTGCTATGGCTCCATGTAAGCAAAGTTTGCATGTTCTCCCCCCGTGTCTTCACGGGGTTTCCTCTGGGTACTCCAATTTCGCCCCACAATCCAAAAACATGCTGAGGTTTATTGCAGTTACCAAACTCTACGCAGGTGTAAGTGAATGGGGTGTGAATGTGCCCCACAACGGGTTGGGGGCCCATCCTGGGTTGCTTCCTGCCTTGCACCCATAGATTCTGGGATAAGCGCCGGACCCCCCACAGCCCTATATAGGACAAGCGGTTACAGAAAATGGGTGGATGGAATATAGGAGTTTAGAACCAGGTGATGCCTTACCCAGCATTATTGCTGACCGCAGTGAGGCTCTTGACACCAGTCTTCAACAAACTGTTAATCAGGTTCTCCGGAATTCCACATAGACCAAACCCTCAAGAAAAGACAGGAATATCAGACAGCTGACGTTCTGACTTATTACCGTCTGAACACATGGGATTATTACATCCGAAACAGGGTGAAGGAACACCCAAAGACTCATTTCTCAGTCGGACTGTAATGTAGTCAACAAACATAGTTAGAACATGAATGACACAGTCCATCAAAGAAAAAATAACATTATAAGAAGTTAGGTAATGATTTACATTAAGTGCACCTTCATAATGCATTCATAGAACATTAATAAGCAGCATGGAAGTACACGTGAACATGCTTTAAATTGTTGCATTCATAACACTTTCAATGAACAAGATATGACAGCTTTAATATACATCAATAACAGATATTGGTGACGATTTACATCAAGTGTACCTTCGTAATGCATTGAGAGAAATTTAGGTGCACCTTCATATTAAGGTATACTTATGTGCTGCTTATTAATGTTCTATGAATGCATTATAATTGCATTATGAAGGTGCACTTAATGTAAATCATTACCAGATGTTCTCCAAAGCATGGTATCAGAATCGGAGGCTTGTGGGCCTCCAGGGCTAATCTGAAGTCATATCAGGGTATAAAGTGGATATAAAGTGGGCATCGCTTATTGGGCATACTGGGCTGGCTGAGGGGATCCATGCTGAAACCAACGAATACCCAGATTTGAGATAGCTCAGTCCCCCTGTGGTGGAGGGGGATTTCACTTCAAGAAGTTCCTTTCATACTGATGTTTAGGCTCACAGACACCAAGCCCAGGCCACCTCTTTTGGTCACATGGCATCGCCCTTATGACAACATGACCAGATCTACAGGAAGATCCAGTTCAGATCTGTTCCGTTTGGCAAAGGAAAGTGTTTGCTATGTGTACCAGCCCTGGAGTTTGAGAGGGTGACAGCAGAAAACTAGGCAGGGAAATTAACTAGATAGCAAGACTTTAGCAAATGTTTACAGCAAACACACAAACCCGTGAAAGAGGATCCAGCAAATATGCGAACTGGCCGTTACATGAATCCCCGCAAACATCGCCATGGGATGGGCCTCGGGGGAGAGGGTGGGGGAGGGGAAAGTGGAGGGTGAATGTCGTCATCCGCTTAAAGTGTGTTTGCAAAGAGAGTCGAGAAAACTTCACAGCTTACCTCCCACCAGTAATGTGGAGCCACTAGGAATGTCTTTCACCGCATCTAAGGGGTTGTTGTAGAACTGGGCTTTCCGGTTGCTGGACGTAGAGAGGTAACAACCACAAATCTGAAGGAAGAGGAGAAATACATGCACCGAATTAAGCCAGGAAAACTAAACCATGCTTCAGAGAAACGCAACAACAAAAGGTGATCAAATATCTCAGTACTGCTCACTAGTCAAGGTAATCAGTAAAGGGAAGTAACGGGAGAAGCGTGCGGGTGGCTAATCCACTTCAGATCACGAATCTTGTTCATAAAACATTAGTTACCTTGAGGTTAACTTACTACCTGCCACCCTCCCCCTGGATTTTCAAATCGCAGCCATGATACAGTTATGAGAACACTAATTACGAACCAAAAAGAGGGTGAGGTTCTCATATATTGAGCTACAAATAAAAATGCTGGTTAAATTAAAGGAAGTTTAAAGCAGTGTAACCCATTCTAACCAGCACACAGAACAAAACACACAGTTGGAGGCCCATCCCGATATTAACAAAAGACTTAAAAGGTGCTCTGTGCCCCCTCATGCCTTTAATAGCCATGGGCCTCACAGCTGACTAGGAAAAAACCGTTCCGCTCTCTTACGGAACACAAGTGAACTAATAAGAGTTTCCTAGGCTACTAAACCCTTAGCAGGCCACAGTTCTTCATACTGTAGCATTTCTGGTAGCTTATCAGAGCAAGTGCAGGTTACTACCACACAGGCAATTTGTTTGTATAGTGATACAACAATTATATTGCGTACATTTGTATCAGCAATAAAAACAATAAAATGGTGACACCAAAAGAAAAGAAAAGCCAGAATTTGCATCTGCTTGTTTCCACTGTGAAGATCCAGATCCCCTAAATTATGGTCTGCTAGTACTTTCATTTGTATGGGGTTAAATTATTTTATATTACTAGAATAATTCAGGTGTCTGCTGCAAAGTAAACCAACTTTTTTCTATCTCATTAAGATAAGACACTTGGCAATGGAGATTGGACATGCCCTTCGTGGAGGGTGCAGCGGCAATGAAGATCACTAAACAGCACCCCTGTCTGGCCCACAGCAGTCCTGCAAAGCTACTGCTTATATGAATGGATCTAAAGGCCATAATACAAACACTTTACAAAATAAACACATAATATGAAGATAATCATTTAAAACATTCTTTAAAAGACTCCAAAAATAGTTAATCCACCGCCTCATACCCATATCTTCCTCTGTGGTATTACAGTTTTGAGATTCTGAGGTTACCTTCGGTAACAGAAAAGCTAGCCAGGACCAGTTTTTCTTTTTATATATAAAGGCCTTACGTTTTACAGCAGATGTGCTACACATATGTGTATGTGTAATTTACTGATTAAATATTATTCGTGCATATAAACAAAATCAGCATGCACTAAATACAAAGTGCGTCTCTGGTTGTGCAAAAATGGGGTCAAAACGCGCCACACGCGGGACAAAAAGGGGCACGAGACAATAGGAAAAAGGGTGGTTTACTGTCATTGGCATGTAAAAGCTCTAGCCTAAATATTCATTTAGAAACGTGTTATATCCTAAGTAAATAAGTCCAGCTGAAGAATTAATTCACCAGCCAACTATTCACCAAGGTCAGGTAATACAATACCGTTTTCTCTGGTGGTAAATACCTTACATTCGGTTCAGACTACTACCTCATAAAAATAAAAGTACAATTCATAAACGACGCTCTTTAAAAATGTGTGGTAAAGATATTACCCTAACATAAACGTAAATAAGATATGACTCAATGTTCCAGGAAATAATACAGGGCAAGGTGTCATATTTAATGTAACGATATCCACAGTCAAAAAAAATCAGAGAAGTACAATTTCAATCAATACTGCTAAAGGAATGCAAACATTATGACGTCGCGACCCTGTTATTGCAATATTAAATATTCTATTTATGGTTGGGGAGTCACGGGATGAACACTAGGACGCACAGCTCCCCAAATCCTTAATTCACATATTCAAGCGCCCCTTAAATGTCACCGACCTTGTTCACCGAACGTGAAGCGACGTTTACATGAGCTCTGCAAGCCGCTGATAAATTCCTGTAGATAATTTTGTCGGCTCTTGATAAGATATTGAAGGCCGCCATCTTTTGGAGCTTCGCTTCTTTTTTCTCTTTTGAATGTGATGATGTGCAGGGCTGATGCCTGGATGGCTTTCGGCGCGTTGTCACACAGCCGCGCCGCGAATGACATGGTTACGGGGAGGCTGGGCCTGGCGGGGGAGTGAGAGGGGCTCGTCCCGCGGATTGTAATTTAACCGTTTCATCACCGCCGTGCTACTGCTTCCTGCATTATTTTTTTGTTAAATTACTAACTTCAAGGCGGATTCAACGCTTACCAATAAAGCACGAGCAAGGACAGTCAACCTGTCCGTACATGTGTGCGTGGCAAAATGTTCTGAATGACAAAAGGAAATGTCGGACGTTTCTAAATACCGGGTCCGTGATAAAAAATTGCATTGCAGTCAGAATTCGCCATGAGGCACGTGCATAGAGCCAGAAAGATGTCCTGCGTGCACCGATGCAATAAATACATATTTGAAAGTTCGATAGATTGCCAATGGATATAAGCATATAACTTCAAAGGAACTGGGTGAAGATAAGCTTTTCTGGAACTTTCATTCATACATTACGTAAGAACTGTTTACTAAGAAACACGTGTATTAAAAATAATATTAATCAAATGTTAAGAAAACTTTATAGCATTTCTGAAACGTACTATCCATGTACTTTTTGCTGAATAATATCGGCGCTGTGGTAATGTTTCCTGGATCAGAATCAGGTACGTGTTGGTTGTTCGACCCATGCGTATCGGCGGGAGAATATGCGTTGTGTATGAGAAAGAAGTGCTTATGAGGTCTTTGTCTGAATAAAAGTGACTTTGAAAGTGACATTTGTGCAGTGCATCTGCATGGTTAAACTAACAAAGTCACGTACGTATTCCGTTGCAGATCGCAACACATACTGAGAGGGACTGTTATTAATTCAAATCTCCTTAAATTAATAATTACTTATAAAAAAAAACCCACACGAGGCAGTTTAACTCTTACTTTCGGTTAGACGAAAGCAGCTATTATCTGACGAATACTTCTGCTTATTGTACAATAAAAATGGAGTTAAACTTAGTAACCGGAAACATTTCCATTTGGGTGTATTTTATTAATACTTAGTCACAAGTTAGTGTACTGCAATGTATGTTCAGTTTTTATAGCGTTGATATGAGGTCCAGCAACTTATTATGATGACTAATGATACCTCATCATTAGCAGTCAGAACTTTAGGTTACTCATGTATAATATACAATAAATGGTTAATATTCATGTTTTGTGATTCTATTCAAAGCGTTTACTCTCCTTTAACTCATGCATAAATCGTATACGTCATACCCTTTTTCTATTCGCACTCTATGTCACGTGACCAAAAATATTTTTGGCATGTGGACATGGCCGGGTCACGTGATGGTTTAATTCAATTGTATGTATATTCTGTGGAGTCTGAGCTAGAGACCTGCACTCCCACGGGAGTACCGCGGGACCCAACGCACCAAGTGATTTGATGGATGAATGCGGGTGCGGGCGGTAAGGTCCTCATGTATGTGCGGGTTGCGGGAGAATAGAACTAATCGCGGGACTCCTGCAAAATGGAATTATCTTAAAATTAATTTATTAAAAACAAATACTCATTTATCTACTGCACAAAAGCAACAAGAACGACTAAATTAAAATAATAACAATTTACAGGCTAATCGTCTACAGAAACTACAATTGCCGTGCTCTGAGTGCTGGTGTTCTGTCGAAATGAGCTACTTCGTCGAGTTATCCTACCGTAGTGCTAATCGATAACCCTAACTCTTACCCTAACCCTAAACCCCCAAACCCCCTAAAACCCTTACCCTAACCCTAACCCAAACCCCTAAAACCTAACCCTAATCCCAAAACGGTGGAACTGCACATGCGCAAAAAGGCTCGATAGTACGTCTCAATAGGTAGTTCAACTCATCAGAACACCGGGGGACTTAACCGGACACCCCAAGAAGGAATCAGCCTGGTGCTTGGACGGGATGGCATGTTCTGAAAAGCTCCTCGTTCGTGTCCATGTTCATCATTCCATTTAATTAAACTCAAATAAAACGAAACATATTTGTGTATTTTCCGTTTCTTTTTTTATATATACTCAAAAGGGAAGCAAGTGAAACAAATAACAGAGTAGCGGGAAGAAGCGGTAAAAATAAAACTACTTATATGTTTACCTGCGGGATTTTGCGGGCGGGAGCGGGACAAAACTTGAATACTACGGGCGGGAGCGGGAGAAAATAATATATATTTTTTGCGGGAGCGGGACAGAATCTTGCGGGAGCGGGCAGGAGCGGCACTGAAAAATCCGTCCCGCGCAGGTCTCTAGTCTGAGCTTCGCTATCTCGTCTGTCTGTATACTTGTGTATAGAGAGATGACAATAAAGTTCACTTTGACTTTTTGTATTTTCCTTTTTTTGAATGGCGACGCCGAACAATAGAAAATAGTTGTACTGATGCATGCACGTGTATATTTTATAAAAGAAATATATATATATATTTTAGTGATACGGTAGGTAGATTTTATCTGTTTAACTCAGGTCTTCTATAGCGTTAACATATGTCACCTTTGTAAACAGCGAAGTTGAGGTGTACTATAAGAGTCTTATTCTTGATGTATTATTTTTAGCCAAAGCATATTTTATTTCTTTGTGTGATGCATACAGAGTGATAAATGGCATTCTGCGTTGGTCGGGAGCTGTCATCTTCACTTCAATGACTGCCACTGGGAAATAACATTAGTAAACTGTATCAGCAAAACCGTCATAACAACTACCCAATGATCCAGTGACTTGGCAGAATACACCATACCATACAACTCCCATTGATCAGTTCATTTTCACCGAGTGAATGTGGCATTCTCAGTACACTGACTGACTGACGAACCAGTTCGTCACTACTGATCTGAATTACCATTGCAAGTTCCTTCACTGAATGAAGGAACGAACTGCAGACACAAAGTTCACGGTGTGACTGTTGTACGCATTAGAGCGCCATCTACTGGAATTTGTTAGTATTTTAATGTAGCGACATATATAAAGTTACGGTTATAATATGAGTACTACTTCGTCAGCCTACGTCTTAACTACTGCATACACTAATAGTTTATTTTGTTGCTTGCTTTTTATAGTGTTTATATTGTTTTGCGGCTAAATATTTTACAATGTTATGACACTTCTAGTTTTTTAACTTGCTTGTTTTGAAGTGAATGAATCAGTGATTCGAAGAGTCGAATCTTTTTCGTGAACTGAACAAAATTAGTCGTATATTAGTCATTTAAAATAAATATGATAAATATCATAGCTCTCGAGGTACAGTATCCGTCGGGCAGGATGGCGTGCTGGACCGGTGCCAACGCTGTAAGTAATGTAAATAGTTCTCTGTGTCATGAATTGTGGTGCTATTCTGCTGTGTGGCCACCTTGTGTGCTGCGAGTAATCCAGGCGACTAGCATATGAGCAGTGTATATATATTGTGTGTGCGTGGTAGGGGGGCAATAAAACCCACAATGAGGTTAAATTATACCTGTTGTCAGTCTTGTGAATTGCACCAAACAACAGGACCCATCTGCCCATTATAATATTAAAAACATTTGTTACAATGTACTAAATATTTTCTACTGGTTGCTAATTTCAATGAAATGTAGCCCTATTTGTCCTGTATGAGCTTTAAATTGTGTAACTTTTGACCAGGGGCCTGTATCACAAAGCAGGAATTCTTGCTTAGCCGAATAGCAAAACCAGAGGCTGTTCTGAGTTTCCGATATCATGACACTGGTTTACGTCTTAGTAGGATACATCACCATGGTAAGTTATGCTACATGCTTAACCTGTTCCAAGGCAGGTTATGAGGAATAATAATTTTAAAATGTGATTTTCCAATAAACATCTGGGCATTAAAACATGTTCTTTAACTTTCAGTTAAATCATTTCCTCCTGTGTCAGTTTACTGCACTGGGCCTTATTCTATTTAGAGCTGAATACCCTCTTTATGTTTTGATCCCGGTATTGACACAGGTGCCTCCCTGCTTACTCTAGCAACCTTTTCATTCAACCACAGATAAAATGGCAGATTTGTACATGTAGACTAGGTGTCTATAGCCTAGTTTATATCCTGGGGGGGGGGGGGGGCAGCTGAAAAAGAAGGTTGCAGTTGAGTCTAGCCAAATGAGACATCAATGGGGCAGTATCCAGAGTCAGCATAACATGACTTTTCAGAAGTGTTCAGAATCCTGAACCATAAGATCTATACTAATGAGTCAGTAAGCTTTTATTGCACGTTTTGCCGTATTGCTACAGCATGCAGCATTTGTCCTGCATTTGAGCACGTCCCCTGTAACTCAACTATACTCAACTAGCTGCCCTTATAAACCTATGTGATCTTATGTTTAGTATCTTGGTCGGATTTTGCATTTTGTTTGCTGTGTTTCCTAGCCCCTAGTTTACCACGGTCCCATCTCCTGGCCTGTTCACTCGCCTTGATATTCTTAATTAGTAATTTTGTGTCTCTCACCCCCAAGTTCACCAGAGATCAATTTTAAAGCAAATTTGTGATTGCTGCAAAAGGTGATGCCAGAAAATATTAAATTAAGGGTACCATCTTTTTTGTTCATGCCATTTTCATTTGTTTAATTATATAAAGTATTCAACTGAATCAATAATCAAAAGCAAGTCAAATTTTTGTTAAACATGGAATAAACAATAAGGGGTGCCATTAAACTTTTGTTTTCTTTCAGAGATATCTCGCAGGCAGTATACACTTCATTTGGATTTGGAAAAGGACATCAGTGCATTATTTAAGTTGCTTTATTCAATACTATTTCTTCAAAGCTTTTAATTTCCTGACATTGCAGTTGGTTAAATGGTAGAAGCCCCCTGGATTTCCAAAATGTCTGATTGCAGTAAAATATGGTTTAAATAAATATAATTTGGTTGGATTTAAGGTAGTCTGGGCAAAATGTAAGTGAACGAATATGAAGTCCATTTAAACTGTGGTACCTTAAATC